GGAGATCTCTCAAGGCCTAGGCGCTTTCCAAGGGATCTGATACCTCTCCATCTGGACTCAGCCCTGCCACAAATTTTGTGAAGGTGAGAAATGCACCTGTTATGTATTTATTGCTTTTATAGGAAAAAAAAAACTGAAAAAGGGTTTGAGCATAAAAACAAACGAGGTCTCATCAAGCCAGCCTGTACCTACCCGGTAGGCTGCTCCAGTGGTGCTGGAAGGGAGGCCCAAGGGGAGGCCTCCGGGAAGGGAGCTTAGGCGAACATTCGTGGAAGACTTGCTGTGTCTTCACGGTTCCTTGCAGACAGTGCTACGTCTTCCTATTTATACACATTACCTCATTTAATCCTACCTCCACCCTGTCATCTGCACTTGCAGACGAGAACACGGAGACACAGACATTATAAAAGTGGGCAAAGACACTAACTCTAACTTCCCTGGCCATGGTTTTGACCATCATCCTGTCCTGCCTCTTGTCGCAGCCACTGCTGCTACCCACCCACTCCTCACAGTTCCTCCTGACATGAGGAAGGTGGTCCATGCCATCCTACTTTCCATGACCCACCAAAGGTGAGTCTTCAACATGAAGGCATCGAGCGGCTTTGCCAAAGACCGCTCCATATCGCTTTCCTGTTGATTTGCGACACCATTCAAGATAAGACCATTTTTATCCCCGCGGCTGTCACCTTTAAGAAGGCGGGAAGTGCTCCCCTGTTATCCATGCCCAGCACATAGGTTACTCGGTCCTCTCACATGCTGGCTCTTCTGCCCTGTGGTCTGCATCTTTCTCAGTGGGGCTTAAGGATGAGCCCCTCATCTGAGCCCCACCATGGACTCCCAGTGTCGCCCCGAGAATGGCCAGCCCAAGGGTGGTGTGGGGGCGGAGGATGCCACAAGGAAGACATTTGCCGGCATGTTCACTGCTGAATGTGCCAATTCAAGACCTGACCGAGAATAAGCTCCCCAGAGATTTCCCCATCAGTCACATCTGCAGACCTGCCTCGACTGCCTCCCTCCAGATTTAGGACTTAGAGGGCGAATAAGAACCGAATCTGCGTGCAGAGCTGTGCACACACCTGCTCTTCACCCGTTTGCTCCAAAAGACAAACACTGCGCTACCGCCAAACACAGCCGACACTTCCAAATCTTAATCGATCAGAAGTTTTTTTTCCTACAGCTTCAAAAAACATCAAGAGCACAGATAGGGAATTGGGACCTAGGAAGAGCCTCCCTTCAAGGCACCACTTTGACCAGATCCCACCTTAGGGCAGCTGAGCAGGGAGGAGGGGAGTGTGTGGCGGCTTGGGGACAGTGGCTACCTCAACCTAAGTCTGTGTCTGTTCCTTTCGAGTTCCTGACAGCAGTGCTGGGAGTAATAGGCAAATGCTCCTCTTGCCACTCTGCCTGGCTACCCCTGCACCTGCTCCAGACCTGCGCCTGCCTCGGGGTATGCTCCCCGATGGCTCGCTCCCGTCTCTCCTACCATGCCTCTTGCTCCAACACTTCTCACACTTGTCATTGTGCCTGTGTGATCAGCTGACAGGTTTCTCTCTCCATTAGGCGGTAAATCCCCAGAGGCAGAGGACATGTTCCCCTGTGGGACTGGTTTTTGCCAAATGAGGTAGCATTGATGTTGAGGCCATTTTGAGAATTCGATGTTAAAAGTTCAATGTTAGCAATCTGCCTATGAAAAGCCTTTAATATCAACAAGTCAAACTTATAGGTAGCTAAGAAGCATTTGGGAAAATGTTAAAATTCACTTGACAATAAACAAAAATAGGCAGCACTTGACATATATATATCTCCTGTCACTTTCTTGCAAATTCTTAGCAAAGTAAAGTTTCCATAATTACATTGCAAACACCAACGTTTATTCAGCACAGGGCCATGTAGGATTGTTTCTTAGAGTGTGTTCTGTGGTCTGCAAACCACCCTTATGTGTGTTTCTCTGAAACTGCAGATTTCTGAGCCTCAACCTGGGGCTCTCCAAATCTGGGTATCTCAAGGGAGGGATGTGAATGCCAAAGACCTGCATTCGAACAAATACTCTAGTTGATTCTGACATGCTCTGAAGTTCAAGGCAGACACGAAATGAAAAGAACACAAAATTTAAAAAGAACATAACTGTATAACCATGTGACCCATTTATGCTACAGTTGAAAGAAATTTCTATTGCCTTTGTATTTCTAAAAGGGACACAAATCGTATTTTTATGCAGTCCTTATACCATTCATGAAAGTTCAATGAGGCAGTTTGTTCTTAAGATATAAATAACCATATAAGATTAAAAAATAAATTATAAATGAATACAGGATATTCTTTTCAAAGTACTTACTAGGTACTATGAGAAAATTTGGTTCGGAAACTATAAAGGAATAAAAGAAAAATCAGACGTGTGTGTTTCACCCACAGGACTCTTGACCAAGAAACCCCACTTGGAGCCAATACTGTGAAGTAGAGATGTAGCAACTAGGCGTAAATCCCCATCAACAGATCTGTAATGCTTTTGAAATTTAATTTAAATTGGTAAAGATTACTTGAGTCTTTTGTGTGCACAAGGCAAAAATGCTAAACTAGTACCTGGAAACGTGGTGTTGAAAAATTGGCTCTCAGTATCTTAAAAATAAGTTCAATGAAATACTCTGTCATAACCTGTGCATTTGTTTCTGCATATTTTCTGCTGCAGATATTTCATTGTTTTGGTAAAATACAAATTAGCCTTTCATCACTGTAGATAAGCTA